TAAAAAGTTGTTAAGCGCGTGAGACCACTCTCGAGTAAGGTAACAAGATTTTGGTTTGTCACATGCCTCKAATGAAAAATATTCTATACGATGAACACTAGGATTCCGTGAGCTTATCCCTCACGGTCATTAGCTCCGCTTACAATTTGCTGGCCCTATTGGATATGCCTCTCTCCTGACATTCGACCAACAACAGCTTGTTCCCCAATAAAGAGAGTGTCTTGAGGCTCTAAAAATGACAAAAAATATTGACAAGCGATCAAATTAGAACGACACGACCAATAAACAATGCAAGAGCAAAGATGTTACCTCCTCAATTGAGCCATGCAAATTGGCGGTCGTGCGACGCCAACCAGTATGCAACCTGAAGGACGAAAGCTACCTTAAAGGTCAGGTTCCGCGGCAAAGAAACGTGTGAAATGGAAGACTATTGTGTAATAAAAGACCTCTTGACAACAAAGGTCGTCTCGGAATCCAAGAAGGTCGCCGGAGACGAGGCGGATTGAGCAGATCTCTGCTTAGGCCCTTCCTGGTAGAAAGCCTAGCTGAAGAATACAGCCGACGTCACTTAACGGGACGCCGAGAAAAGGAGCCCACTAACAGCTCTCGGATTGGGTGGATGCCCCTGGGAAAGAAGTTTTAGTAAAGAGAGACCAAATGTGACGTTTAACCTAAAAAGAAAAAAATTAAAGTAAGTAATGCGAACCATGAAATCCTAGGACGGGTCTCAGGGCATGATAGTCACTAGATTATGATGGAGAACTTCCTGGGAAGCCACCAGAGAACTCGTCAGAAGGAGGCTTCAAGATGAAAGAGAGGATCCTATCCTTGTAGTCATAAAAAGGCATCACGATTGTAGTCAGAAGGAGGAAAGGGGGAAAAAGAGGAACGCAGAATCCCTCATCCTCCTATCTAGAAGAAGGAGGTTCTCCAGGACATTCTCGTTGCCAAGCGGCAGACGAAAAGGGAGTAAAAAAACAGACAACGAAATGAGAAAATGGACTTTAAGGCAGAAAAGTCCAGCCATGCTAGCACCAAGTCAAAGGCACCCACGAATGTTGATAGACTGCAAAAAAATAAACAAATTCGATAGACTACCAAACCCCCTGTGGAAAAATATTGGACAGTCACTCTAAGTATCTAAAGCATTGTAGAGGAGCCGAAATATATGTTAGGAAATAACATCAAATTTATGATAAATCAGATTTACGGGAACAATAAAAATACACAATTTGTTAACGGAGTTCGGCCAATGTTGTCTACTTCTCTGGACCTACTGTAAATCTTTTATTATTAACCGGGAAAAATTACAACACTTTCAACTCACACCCAAACAGAATTACACTAAAAAAATTACTCTCAATTTTTCACCAAGAAGAAGAGTTATATTTTTCTCCTTTTTTCCTTCTCTTTCACATTTCTTCTTCTTGCTTGATATTTTGGGATGATTATTAAGAATGAGGAGCTCACGTATTTATAGAGCATTTGAGGAGGAGGTTGGTGATGTGCAATTAAGTGAGCCAAAATTGTTGATAACAAAATCAACCTCCCATTTTTGACTTATGAACCTCCTTTCACCAACCTCACCGTCCATTGGTAAAATGAACATGACTAACAATCTCCCACTTAAAGACTGTATTTTCAATTTGTCTTCACACCTTGATCAATGCAGCAGGTCTTCTACGCTTGTTACTCTAACAACCCAATTAAGGTCGTACATAA